TATAATTTTCATAATCTATGTACATAGATACTATTGGCTAGAACAAAGGAATGTGGAGTTCCTAAATCAAAGCGAAAACCCAACCATCATTAGAGGGATAAATGCGGCTTGTAACAATTAACGCGGGTTGTTATTCTACTAAAGAAACCTCCTCAGACATTTGACCCTTTCGATCTCACTTACCAGAATCCATCGATTTCTCTCAATAAGTTCTTGCTCATTGTGTGTTATGATTTGCGTAAAATCGTGGACAGTTTGGTAAGGCTTTTTGAATTTATTGTGAATTGGACGAAAACAGATTCTTAAAAAAATCTTATAACTGATTTAGGTACAACTTCTCTTCCATATTAGGTACGTTCAATTCATTTTTCAACACTGATACATATGTAAGAATACTTATATAAAGTAGTTTTGTAAATATTTATCTTCTGCCTACTGCTTTAGACTTCTGATCTGCGAGAATACAATAAACATTATGGTATAAGAATCACTTACGTTTTTTCTTAATTTTATGGGGAAACCCTTTTGAGCAAGTCTAAATTGAGTAATTCCAACGAGATTCTGTAAAGGTCAGAGATGTTAAATATTTCTAATATTTACAAGTATTTAAAATACAAATACACATATTTGTATTTTGGATTTAAATACATATTTTCAAGAGTATTTTGTATTTGTATTTTAAATACTTTTTAAGCAGTGTTTGTATTCTATGCTTTTAATTACTTTTCTGTTGTTCATTGTTCGTCATGTCATAAAGCTTTCCTGTACACAGTGGCGGATACACGGGGGGGTTTTGGGGATTAAAACCACCCCTCAAGTCAAAGAATAATATTTTACTAATATGGGTCTAGAAAAAATGCTCTTTAGAAGAACTACGCATACGTTTAATAAGTTTCAAAACACGAATTTTTAAAATCATATATTCAATTTTTCGCTTTATTTATAAAACATTTTGATAATTTTAAGCACATTAAATTTTTCTTTTTACTTATAAATCAATGCAACGAAGAATTTTCAAATTTTTCGTGGTTTTTTGAAAAATTCTTCTAGAACTTCGTCAACTGAAAAATTTATATCTTTGTGAATATTCATAGATGCTAGACTGTTGAGTCTTTCTTGACGTATTTCTCAAGTATGTTTTAATTCTTTTCAGGCATGAAAAGCTTTGTTCAGGTGTGGCTATTAAAACGGGCAAAAGTGCCAATATACGTAAGATCTTAAAAACATTCCCAAAAGACGTTGTATTAGCTACTTGTAATACTTCGAGAGCATTTCGAAAATGTTCGTGTGAAATTCGTTTTTTTCCACATTTTTACCTCCAGAAGAAAGTTTTGTTTCGAGTAGTCGATTACTTTTTCATAGAAAGCCAACAATTCTTTAGTTTTTAACCGACTTCCAAAAAAGGAGGAGGTTATCAGTTCGTCGGAATATTTTTTTTTTTATGTATGTTACCGCATAACTTTGGACCACGTCAACCGATTTCGATAATTCTTTTTGCATCGGAAAGGTAGTGTCTCAGAGGTGGTCCCATACTAATCTGGTTAAGATCCGATCAGCGGATCATGAGATATATATATATATATATTTTTTTTTATGAGAGTTGAAGTCGGTTTTTTTTTGCTAAAAATTACTTGTTTTCGTTGAAATCATACTTTCCCATATAAAAAATATATATATATATATATATCTCATGATCCACTGATCGGATCTCAACCAGATTAGTATGGGACCACCTCTGATACACTACCTACACTACCAGAATTATCGAAATCGGTTGACGTGGTCCAAAGTTATGCGGTAACATTTTTTTGGAAGTCGGTTAAAAAGAAAATGCTTGGCTGTTGTCGCTGTGCTAACAGTTTTTCAAACCCTGATAATTTCTATAGATATTCGCACGATACAAATAATTTTTACGGTATTTTCCTCGTGACAAATAAAATGTTTTTGACAATTGGAAGAAATAAAACTCCGAAAGTCTTTTAAAAACGATTTTTCATTTTGCTACGTTAGAGCCGTTGCCGAGAAACTTATGGATACATATACATATACACAAAAATTGCTCGTTGAAGGTAATTAGAATAAGGGGCAAAATTTCCCGCACCTCTGATACACTACCTGTCCGATGCAAAAAGAATTATCGAAATCGGTTAACGTGGTCCAAAGTTATGCGGTAACATACATAAAAAAAAAAAAAAAAAAAAAAATT